ACACCATGCTTGGATATAGCTGCTTCCAGCCAGGAAAGTCCATGTTTCAAAAGGCTCTAGGAAGAATGCGGGACGAGCTGCTCTACATTATAAACACCCCAGACCTTTTCTGGAGACTATGCCAAGAACCAGAAGCTAACACTATAGAGGAGATGAAGCCATCATACACAGGTCCACGCATGTTCCTCCTGGTACTCCATGATAAACAGCTCTCCCAGGAAGAGGTGGAGATGATTGAAGGAGAGAGTTGGAGAGAAAATGACAAAAAAATATTACTGTAGTGTTGATCGACAACAAAGAGACATCAAGACAGTCCTGCAACATAGAGGATATGAACCTCAAAAAGATTTTACATGAATGTGATGAGAGAATTTGCGTCTTCAGCAAAGATACGGCAGACTCAGATCTGGTCAGACAGCTTTTGATACATATTACTAAAAAGTTGATCCTGGCAGGTAGACTTCTACAAATGGAAAACATTTGGTATTGTTTCGTGCATTGTTCACAAAGCTGATTTCTGTCTTTTTCCCTAAAGTTCATCATTATCCTACATGAAGACATGAACAAGCATGTTCATCAGAAGGAAAAAGATGAGACAGAACAACCGACAATGTCAGGTAATGCTTACTTATGTTTAATTATCTGAAATGATTAATATTCTAGAATCTAGGCCAACTCTGCTGCACTGAAAATGTGTTTTAGGAAAGTAAACTTACATTCAAATGTTCATGGTCAGTATGTTTTTTTTTCTTGAAAAGAAATTAATATTTTCAACAATGTTGTATTAAAAGTATAATCAAGTTGATCCAAAATTCACAGTAAAGACTTTTACAGATTTCCATTTCAAATAAATGCTGATTGTTTGAGCTTTTTACGCCTCAAACAAACTTGAAAAAAAAAAGTATCACAGTTTCCTTAAAAATATTAAGCAGCACTGTTAAGCACAACTGTTTTGAACATTGAGAATTAAAAAAATAAATACAATTTTAGGATCATTTGACAAATTTAGCTTTGCCATCACCGGAACAAATTCCATTTTAAAATATGCTGAAATAGAAAACCCCTCTTTTAAATTGTAATATTTTACAATACTGCTGGTTTTATTTTACAGTTGAAACAAATGCAGCCTTGGTGACCACTTCTTTCAAAAAAAAGTAATAAAATAAAATAATAATAATAAATTGAAAAATGGTTCATTCCAAAAAAAAATTTTTTTTTCATAAGGGGAGGGTGTGAACGTCAAGCCATTTGGAGGTGACTGCAAGATCGTCACCACGGTGCTCCTGGGAGTGAACAGCGATGACAAGTACCTGATAGGGAACAGTATTCTCCAGCATGACTGTTTCATCGCTGGAAAAGCCACATGTGAGAGGGTTGTGGCTAGAGTAGCCGATCAGATTGACTGTATTGTGAGTACCCCTGACCTTTTCCATAAACCGGGCCCAGATCCAATAGCCGACAGTATGGAATTTGTATACTTAGCATGAAATAAATGTATTTCAAATACATTTAAGAATATTTATTTTTCACTAGGGTAATGCACCTTATATCCTATTTAACCACAAGGAGCATAAAGATCAAGGATCTGGGCTGTTCACAAAAGTTTAAAATTTACCAAACATGCACAATCATGCACAAAAGTGTCTGATAAATCAAGTTATCAGGTGGTATGTTCTGATAGGGTTGCAGACAGCTGAGGGCCAAAAACATGCTAAATGCGAAAAAGGATAATGCCACGATAGCTCACCATGTAGAGTACCATATGATAACAACATAAATGCTATCGAAGAGTGTGTGTTCAACAATTTGGCATATATACAGACATCAGCATATTGGTGACATGCCCTCATCATCGAAACTAGGAACATATGACCTGACTATATTAAATAGAAATTATGGATTTGGTATTATTGTTGGGTCACCACTTGATGTCCAATGTAAAATCTGGGTCTTTCACCAAACCAGTTGAAAACCACCATGTTAAATTACCAGTAATTGTGTCCTACAAACAACTATGTTCTGCATTCATATTGTGAAGGATGTATGTTGTTTTCAAAAATTTCTTTGAATTTATCACAGCAAATAGTGGTCTGACATCTGGAAGTAAGCACATGATGACAGTGGTCCTGCTGGGAAAGATAAGCAACAACAAGTGTCTTGTAGGGAACACAATTTTTCAAAAAGATCATTTCCGATCAGAGAAAATCAGCTGTGAGAAGATTGTAGATAATGTTGATGGTAAGATGGTCTGTATTATCAACACTCCAGACCTTTTTCATAAACCAAGCTCATCAGATCCAGAAGCTGACAGTGTGGAGGAGCTGAAGCCATCATATGCAGGTCCTCGTGTGTTCCTCCTCATACTCCAGGACAGAATGGTGTCACCAGAAGAGATGGAGATGTTTACTGAATTAAAGAAAAAGCTCGGTCAGAAAATGGTTGAACAAACAATTGTGCTGGTTAACAGTGAAAAAAAGGTATCTTCAAATTCAATAGACACACCACTGTCATTCAGAAAAGACTACAACATAATCCTGAATGAGTGTGGAAACAGACTGTGTGTTTACAGCAAACGCATGAAGAACACTGAACTAATCAAAGAACTGATGAAATACAACGAAAGCAAGAACCAAACATCAGAAAGGTATGCGATATAGTTATGAGCAGCAGGAATTGAATTAACTTACAAATATCAATCACTCTTTCTGTTCCAGAGGGACGCATGACAAAATGGTGACACCAAACGAACCAGGTAACAAAGCCTTTGACTTCAACCTGTCAACTAGAAAACATTTTAAGTAACATGTCGTTAGTAGATAACAATAGTTTGGTATCCTTACACTGAAACTGTTAGCATGGACTGTATCTTCTAACTAATTCTAACTCATCAGCTAAGATGCATCCACAAAAACCTTTGACCATCGTGCTGCTGGGACAGACAGGATGTGGGAAGAGTGCTACAGGAAATACTATCCTAAAAAAGCAACATTTTGAATCACATGCCAGTTCTGTGCCAGTAACAAAGGAGTGCAACATGGCAGAAGAAACTGTTTATGAAATGAGGATTAGGGTTATAGACACCCCAGATTTCTTTAATGAAGACCTTAAAAACCAGGAAGAACAAATAAAGAAGTGCAAAGAGCTCGCTCAGCCAGGGCCTGATGTGTATTTGCTGGTTATGCAGCTTGGCCGTTTCACAGAGGGTGAGAGAGAGGTTCTCCCACATCTGAAGAGAGAGTTTGGTGAGGATGTGGCTTTAAAGACTGTAATTCTTTTCACGGGTAAAGAGAAGCTGAAGCACAAGACTTTAACTGATTACATCAATGGTAGCGACAAAGAACTTCAGGAACTGATCAAAACCTGCCATTCAAGATGTTATGCATTTAACAACAACGAGAAAGGCAATAATCAGGTGAAAAAACTTCTGGAGTTCATTTCTGACATGCAGGAAAATAGTGCCATAGCAAGTCATCACAGTCATAAAAAGAAGCATAAGGAGATCAAAGAATGCAGTATCTTGTAAGATAAAGTGTGTGTGTATATGTGCGCAGCTATAATTGGATAACTTTTTTTTAAATGCATGTTTTATTATGGTTAGTCTGCAGTTGTTACAGTTGTGTAGCCTAAGGGTTAGTTCACACAAAAATGAAAATTAGCCTGTGTTTTACTCACCCTCGAGGCATCCTAGGTGTATATGACTTTCTTCTTTCAGACGAATCATTTCGGAGTTATATAAAAAATTGTCCTGGCTATTCCAAGCTCTATCATTGCAGTCAGCGGGTTTTTCTGTTCAGCTGTCCACAAGTCGTCAAATAAAGTGCGCGCATCCGTAATAAAACTCCGGGGGGTGAATAAAGGCCTCCTGTAACGAATCCATGCGTTTTCATAAGAAAAATCCATATTTCAAAGTAATAAACACTTCTCTCACTTCCGGTATCTGTCATACGCGGAAGCCGTTGCGGCGGATGACGCAGGATGTATGCGTAGCGCGCGCACCTCTGAGATATGCTAGTCTCGCGAGTTTGTTTATAGGAGCAAAGGAAGTCAGTTTCCTTACTTTAGCAAAGGAAAACCAGTCTCCTCTTGGTTTATATCGAAATCCTCC